CAGAAGGCTGGGCCTGGCTTCTTCTGTCACAAATCTATCAGTTGTATACAGTATCATCATCTCTGTGCAAGTTTTACAACTTCAGAACTTTGGCAGAAATATTTAAATTAGAAATGTATTTTACTGAATATTTATTTTTGCCTTCCAGAAGGAATACTTCTACTTGGAATTCCAATCAGATTTCACCTTCTCTATTGTACTCTATTCCATATCTGCACTCTCTTTTTAACAGACATTTAGAATTCTTTTACCACTGAACATGCTCTATCTAGTTTGATATTTTGGCTCCTTTAAAAAATTATATAAACCTTATGATTTCTCCAACCATGTTAATAACTTCGATTTTATTTTTTACTTTGGATGAGTAGCAAGTAATGACATGATAAACCAATTATGATAAACCATAATTCTGGTATATTATGACCAGTAAATTAGGGTTATGAATGTCAGTTGCATTTGATTATGCAGTCAAAAGGACATCGGTGCTATAAAAAAATGGCTGGGTTGAATGGCAAACACACTTGTTTCCTCCAAAATAAGAATAATCATCTGTTTTAAGATTATACACACATGAAAATGATACTCACCCAGAAGGCTTTGTGTTGTGTTGGTGGAGAAGGCCACTAGTAAAAAGCTGCCCCAAGCTGAGGTGACACAAATGGCAACACGCAAGCTGTTGAAGGGAGGAGAGGAGAGGGAGGGAGGGAGGGAAGGAGGGTGGGAGAGCAGGAGGGAGGAAGGAAGGAAGGAAGGAAGGAAGGAAGGAGGGAGGGAGGGAGGGAGGGAAGGAAGGAGGATTAGAATTAACTACTAAGCAATAAACAGAGACTGTTTCTGGTGTGAATGCATGTTCCTTTCTCCTTAACTAAAATTTCCTAATTCCATTGATTTCTTACCTTGATATGAACATACAATAGGAAAAAAGCACTTACAAGCACATTTTCTTCAAAAGGCAAATGTAATCTCTTTACAAGCAAATCACACAACAGGTCAACATTCTCTAGAGCAGTGTTTCTCAGCCTTGGCAAATTTAAGATGTGTGCACTTCAGCTCCCATAATTCCTCAGCTAATCTCTGGCTGGGGAATTCCAGAAATTGAAATCCACACATCTAAAAAGTTGCCAAGGGTTGAGAAACACTGCTGTAGACATTAACTTGCAGGTATGCTGGAATACTTTTATTCTTACTGGATATGGCCAGGTTGGAAAAGAGAGCCCAAGGCACTGATTCTTTTGAATGCAAAGCATAACAAAATTGGACAACTTTTTCCATACATCATGGACATTTCTTTATGTAAAGAAAGTTTCCATGAGGAGTTCAGGTATAACCTACCTTTAAGGTAGTTGTTAAAATGCTAGCTAGGAACCAGGATATTATGAGTTCTAGTCCCACCTTAGATATTGAAAACCAGCTGGGTGACTTTGGGCCAGTGATTCTCTTTTAGCCCAATTCACTTCAGATGGTTGTTGTGGGGGAAAAAAAGGAGGAAGAAGCATTATATATGTTCACTGTCTTAAGTTACTTATAAAAGTAATAAGGCAGGATGAAAAAACTAATAATAAATAAAAATACCTTCTATTCTCTTACCTATAATGGTATGCTAATTATTTTGCACCAGTGTAAACTTACCCATATGGGAACAAGTGGATGCAAAAAGGAGCACTAAATTTGATGAAGAGAGTTGGCAAAATGTCTGCCAGCAGTACTGCCTATACAGGATGCAAAACAAAAAAACAAGTAGTTGGTATCCAAACCTCAAAGCATTTTGCTCCTTTGCCTGCCTGATCAGGCCTTTTCACTTACCCCAGTCGAAATGGTGTTGCAATCATACCGAGAAGTGTTGGTGGTGGTATTCTCTGGAGAAGCACTAGGAGGAATCTGAGTGGAAAGCAAAGGACAGGAAGCAAAACTCAGGTATGGGATCAACAACCTGTAAGGTGCTGCAGCTGCGGCTGCTTGTGTTTACTGAGCAAAGTTCCATGAAATCAGCAAATCTCTGGTCAACACTCTAAAATCTCATTAGATCTGACAATCTCAAAAGGTCAACGTGTTTTAACTATGTGTATGTAAATACAGGTAGTGCTCAACTTACAATAGTTCGTTCAGTGACCATTCAAAGTTACAATGGCCCTGAAAAAAGTGACTTACGACCATTTTTCACACTTACAACCATTGTAGCATCCTCAGGATCATGTGACCAGAACTCCAATGCTTGGCGACTGGTTCATACTGATGACCATTGCAGTGTCCCAAGGGCATGTTGTAATCATCTTTTATAACCTTTTGACAACCGGGTTACTAATTTATCCACTGCAGTGATTCATTTAACAACTGTGGTAAGAAAAGTCATAAAATGGGACAAATATCTCACTTAACCACAGAAATTTTAGGTTCAATTGCGGTCATAAGACGAAGACTACCTGTATGTACATGTACACATATACCACAGTATCTAGATACTACAGTACAAAAAAAGGAGGAGATTCTACGGATAATATCACTGGAAGCTCTGAATTATATTTTCCTGAATGTTGCATGAGTGAATTCTAAGAAGATACAAAAGATAAAAAATGCCAACAGTTTCTCATCACCATCTTCCGTATAGTGCAGGGGTGTTCAACCTTGGCAACTTTAAGACTTGTGGACTTCAACTGAAGTCCACAAGTCTTAAAGTTGCCAAGGTTGGACACCCCTGATATAGTGCCTTCACTCAGAGCTTTCTGGGTTTACTACAGGTAATCCTCATCTTATAACTACAATTAGGACCAGAATTTCTGTTGCTAAGCAGTTATTGTCATGCCCAGTTTTACAACCTTTTTGCCACAACTGTTAAGTAAATCTCTGCAGTTGTTATGGAAATCCAGTTTCCCCCAGTTTGCTTGTGGGAAACCAGCTGGGAAGATCGGAAATGACAATCACATGATCCTAGAATGCTGCAACCCTCATAAATATATGTTGGTTACCAAGTGCCTATCTTCTGATCATGTGAATGTGGGAATACTGTGAAGGTTTAAGTACAAGGACAGCTGTCAAGTTTTTCAGTGCCATTGTAACTTTGAATGGTCACTAAACAAATAGTTCTAAGTCAAGGACTTATTGACCCAGATGATCAATGTCAAATGGCTCTCTGCTAAAACATTCCTGCCAAATTCAACAAAAATGTATTTTATACCTCATAGATAATCTAATAAAATGAACAGCAGCCTTCTCAGTCTCTGGCTATTGGCTCAACTGGTTGAAACTAATGGGAAAATCCAGAGATAAGCAGTCCTGCTTCATTTCACATTCGTGTGCTTCCTTGTTCTTGCATACAAATTTTTCCTTGTATTTATTTTCTACATATTTATTTCTTCCAGTAACTGACATTTTCTCTTGACCTATTCCTTATTCTGCTTTTACGCAAACATCCACACAGTTGTCCTCCTTGCACACTCACCGGTCTAGTCCCATTATGTTCTGGCACCTTTTGATTGCTGAGAATGTCATGGGCTGCACTCAGCATCACTACATAAGCAAAATTGTTGCAGAGACCAAGCAGCCTGAGTGAGGAGGAGACAATTTAGGACACATGAAGGTTACCACATATGCATACATCAGTGTTTAGGTTCCTAAAATGTGTTAAACTATAGAATAGATACTTAGTTTTGGCTTACTGGACTGTACAAATTCAAATATTGTGGTTTACTGTGGTGTTTTTCAACCTCAGTGGCTTTAAGATGCTCCCAGAATTCCCCTGCCAGTATGTTGACTAGGGAATTCTGGGAGCTGAAGTCCACACATTTTAAAGTTGCTGAGATTGAGAAACACTGCTTTACTGTATAAACTTGGTTGCACTAGATCCAGCCAATAGTGGCTTTTTAAAGTATTTTAGTGAACTATGCTTTACCATAGTATGAACTATATCAATGCTATCTTTTTGTTCATTTTTTATTGTAATTATAGATTTTTTTATTGTAATTACAGACCCCTTTCCTTCACAACAGAGTTCAGATGCATGTAAGCAGGGTTCAAACACGGATTGGATCCAGATCAGTTTAGCTATGTTTGTTGCATCAATCATTTTTTCAGACTATATAAAACATTATCGCCACACTCAAAATTCCCCAAAGCTCTGATGCATGCAACATAATGCATGCAACTAGTTGTACAAAGTGTGCTGCAAATAAATAGAATGACCCAGCCTGATTGGAAGAGGATGCGTAAAAATATCAAGTTTGTAGAAAAGACACTCAGAAAATAAACATGGACACAAAGCAGAAGTGCATAAGCTTATGTTCTCCAACACGAAGAAGCTAGTTATCACACAGCAATATTGATGAAAGAGGAACTATGTGTAGTAGTAATTGAAGATGTGATATTGAACATCCTGCATCGCCTTGAATCAAAGAAGCAGCGTAAAGAAATTCACCAAAAGCCTGCATTGTTTCTCAGCTGGCTGCAAGCATCCAGGGTGACTTCAGACTCTGCAGAGAGCGCCACATCTTCATTTTCCTCTGTTTCTGGGGAGAGAACAAGCACAGCTCTATGAATTGAGGAGACATGGGGGCGGGGGGAGGGGATCTGAACATGATATCAGACTCACCCTCAGACTCGTCGTAGGCTTCTTGCCACCTACCCCCTGCGTGTCCCATGGAGGAGGCAGAGTCAGGGCACTAAGAGGGATCACCTACAATTAAAAGGAGGATAACAATGCACAATAATTTTTGGGGACTTTCAGGGATGCACTGAGATGCTCCCTCTGGCTTGCGCTCGCCCCCGTCCCATTCATCCCTCTGGCTAAAGCTCCGACGCTACCTTTAAGAAAACGTTTCGATTAGACTCTCCTGCAAATCTGGGGGCAGAAGATCGGAGAAACTGAAATCGAAGTCGTAGGCACAGCAACTCTCCTGCAGATCCTACTTCCTGGTTTTGATACCACTTCCTCCCTCCTGCCACGCAACGTCCTCAGCTGGGCTTTGGAGAAACCGAGAGCGCGTGCGGGGGACAAGGGAAAGCCGGTTGCGCGCTCCTGTTGGCGTTGGGCGGCTGCGTTGGAGCGACTCCGCGAAACCCCCGGTAGTGTTATTTAAAAGAGGGGATGTGCTATCCAGGAATTCCTGCAGATGTTAATGCTTTTAAACAAATTGAAGAGACTTACATGCCGCATGCCTGCTTATTCACCCTAAAAGACGCGTGGCGGTGAAAGGATGTGTTTCCTTAATGTAGGTTTTCACTATAGTTGTTTGGGCGGGGGGGGGGGGGGCTTTTAAAGTGGTGAGGGGCGGGGGAAGGTATAAAAATATGCAAACCTGATTTGCAATATAAATCATCATGAAATTTCTATAAAGCCTCAAATGCACACTGAAACAGTAGCTTCTCCCTGATGTTGTGAGTATAATATGTTATATTATAGAAGGTCTGAATTAAGTTCCACTCAACCTGAAACTTACTGGGAGATATAGGATTTTTAGATCAGAATCATACAAACTGCCAAGGTATTCCCTCTGACACTCTAGAAGTGAAAGTTGATCTTTGAAGAAGTAGGATAGGAAGATTGATACTTTTGAACTTGGCTGTTGGAGAAGACTCCTGAGAACGGAAAGCCAGACAACAAATGCGCCATCAAATAAAAACTCAGAATTCTCACTCCTGGCACAAATGATCAGGCTCAAGTTATCTTACTTTGCACACACCAAGCAAAGACTGATTTCTGGAAAAGGGTCTAATGCTGGGAAAGGTAGAAGGAAAGAGAAAAAGAGGACAACCAGCAAGGTAGATGGATTCAGTGATGGCACCCTTGGAAGATTGAAAGGTTGTCATGGATAAAATCTACATATGTGGTTGCTAGGAGTTGAAAATGACTTGATGGCACACAATCCGTTATATGCTTTTAGGAGAAACGCAGGATAAAAATGCAGTCCATAAGATCCAATCTAGGCTGAAGTAACCTGTTCAAGAAAAAGTCTTCTTGATGTTATTGTAAACAAAGTCTCACATCAGTTTAAGGTGAAACTAAGAGCTACCCCAGTTTTAATAAACAATGACTCAACTATAATATCCATAAACAATAGGATAATTAATAAACAGTGATGGCTGTGTGCTCATAAATAGGAGTAACATCTTTTGTAAAAGAGGATTTCCAGCCTTCCCAATACTGAAGTGGACACTATTCTATTTCCAGTTGGTCAGTAGACTTGCTTCTAAGTATCCTGGAATTAATTAGGAGTATCCAGATTCCCAGGGTGTTCATGTAGGTATGCGTCTACCATGTGTTTTTATAAATGGTTGTCGTGTTTGATGTTTTTAATCCTATCTTAGTTGTCCAGAGCCACGTGGCAAGTAGGAAGTTATATAAATTGAAAAATATAATACTGTGTCATTCTTTTCACAATATAGTTGGTATTACTTGGTGGTTTTTAAACTGAAATCAGCCTTATTGATCACCAACCACTCCTGGTATTTTTCCAGAGGTCAATTAAATAACATGCTTACATCAGAAAAAAATCCACTGCCTTGTCAATGAACTCAGAATAATAGATTCCACAAAAGTTCAGCCATTCTTCCTGTAACTTACTCAACTGTGAAACCCTTTCTTCTTTCTCAATAATATTGAGTACTTTTCCACCCAATAATACAACACCATTTTGGGATCAGCTCTGGATCTGAATTTATGATGTCATTGTCTCGAGGAACTGAGAAATCTATTTCTGTCTCTTAATTTAGAAGAAACCACAATTACAGTGGAATTTTATTATGAATCATTGCAGTTCTGAAAATCCAATATTTTAGCAGGAATTTGTATTTCTCTATGCCTGCCCACCCTTTGGAAATTCATTCTGTTCCTGGAGTTTGTATCTTCTGTATGCAATGTTCAGAATTTTTCCATCACTATCCCCAATCTACATCAAGGTCCTAATCCAGTGCCTAGAGGTGATTGGGTTCTGAATGGGAAGAAACAACTCAACCCTTGCAAGACTGAATGCTGATGAATGTAGAATTCTTTATTGGCCAAGTGTGATTAGACATACAAGGAATTTGTCTCCAGTGCTTAAGTTCTCAGTGTACACACAACAATAATGATAGATCATTATCATAGTCATCATAAAAATACATTCATCATAAAACATGAGATACAAACAGTGATAATCATAGATATTAAATAAGCAATCAACATAAATCATAAATCATACTAGGGTACTAAGTAAACAATATAAATCATAAGATACAAGCAACAAAGTTATAGTTATTTTTTGATGACATATTTGATGGTAGGTATCCATTTTAAGTCTTGAGACATTATAGAACCTAGAAATTTGTTGCTACTGTGTTGTCTAGCATTGTGAATGGTGGTAGTGTAGGAGGGCTTCTTCTAAAATCTACTATCATTTCTACAATTTTAAGTGTGTTCAGTTCAAGACTGTTCCGGCTGTAACACAAGGCTAGTTGTTCAACCTCCGGTCTGTATGCAGACTTGTCCTTGTCTCAAATGAAACGTTGTATCACTGTTGTATCTGCAAACTTTAGTACTTTCACAGAAGGAACCTTTGAGATGCAGTCATTGATATATAGAAAGATGAGAAGTGAAGAGAGAACACAGCCCGGGGGGGGGGGCGGGGGGGCTGTGCTAATTGTACAGGTATCTGATGTGATTCTGCCTGCCTTCACTTGCTTCTTCCTGTCTGTTAGAAAGCTTATGATCCACGTACAAGTGTGGTCATATTTGGGTTATCTGGATCTGGGGACTTTCCAGCCTTAGCACCAAATAAAGAAGTTGCATGTCACATTTGGGTTTGGGCTGGTGTGTAATATGGGGATTGTTGTGGACTGCCCACTCTGCTCCAAGAGCAGGTGGCATTTGCTATTTGGTCTTTGCACAGATTCATTTTGTAGACCAATTGTGTCCATTCTTGGACTGGGAGGAACATTCTTACAGTCACTCGGGCTTTAATCACCTCTTGTGTGGACCATTGCAGTAGAGTCCACATGACAAAATCACTTGGAAGTTGAAGTTTGTTTAGAATGCAGTAGTATAAGCAGCTAGAAGCATTTCACATTATACCCAGGTAGCATCTCTGCTTTTTAACTTCTGCTGGTTGCCATTAATTTTCAGATGCAATTCAAATGCTGATTCTCACCTATAAAACTGCTTGTGGGATAAGGCCTGGTTATTTGAGAGTCCATCCGTGGTATCTGCCAATCTTATACAATTGGATAGAGTTAGCATACTTTAGGTATCATTAGATTAGATTAGATTAGATTAGATTAGATTAGATTAGATTAGATTAGATTAGATTAGATTAACAGTTGGAAGGGACCTTGTAGGCCATCTAGTCCAAACCCCTGCCCAAGCGGGAGACCCTACACCATTTCTGACAAATGGCAGTCCAGTCTCTTCTTGAAAGTTTCAAGTGATGGCGCTTCCACAACTTCCGAGGGCAAGCTGTTCCATTGGTTGATTGTTCTTTCTCACTGTCAGAAAGTTTCTCCTTATTTCCAGGTTAAATCTCTCCTCGTTAAGTTTCCATCCATTATTCCTTGTCTGGCCTTCGGGTGCTTTAGAAAATAGCTTGACCCTTTCCTCTTTGTGGCAGACCCTCAAATATTGGAACACTGCCATCCTGTCTCCCTGACTATGTTTATTGATTAAACAACAACACCTGATGGGACTGAGGAAGGGGATTAAACAACAACACCTGAGGATTAAACAACAACACCTGATGGGACTCTATCATGGTGTCTGGAACATCTCCCGCAAAACTTGTGCAGCCTCTACCTTAATTTTGTTTAAGCAAACTTTGAAGACACAGCACTTCTCTCTGCCTCTGGAATAAGCAGTATGATGGGTCCCTTTTAGGGGAATATGGGGAAATGGAAGTTATGTATCTATTGCTCTCTGAGATGTCAACTTTTTTTTGTTAATGATGGTAGCAGGAGTGGGATTCATTTTTTTTAACAACCGGTTCTGTGGGCATGGCTAAGTTGGTGGGCATGGTTTGGTGGTCATGTGACTGGGTGGACGTGGCTTGGTGGTCATGTTATTGGCTGGGCGTGCCCAACTCAATGTCACTCACATTGAGGCACGCATCTCCTCGCCTGGCCTCTCATGACTGTGGGAATGCTGCAACAGTCATAAGTGTGAAAAAGTCAGTTTTTTCAGTGCCATTGTAACTTTGAATGTTCACTCCACACAAGCAAAGTACCAACAAAGGAGGGGAAAAAAACTCCAGAGATGTTCCTGAGAATGTAATAAGGGTTAATGGAGAGGCAGTTTCTGTAAGCAACACCAGAATGTTTCCTTCCTGCCTTCCGTACCAGGATTAGGCCAGTAATTTCTTCTAACAACCAGTTCTCTGAACTGCTTAGAATGTCAACAACCGGTTCTAACAAATAGGTGCGAACCTGTAGAATCCCACCCCTGGATGGTAGTGATGATAATGTTTTGTATTTAACAGTGTATTGCCACTGACACCATTATAGAATTGCGTGGCTTTACAAATTTGACAAATAAATCAAGAAAACTAGTGGTCGTAGTAAGAGGCAATGATAGAGATACTGGAAAAAGCAACAGGTTACACAATCACTAACACAATAGCTTTACTTACACAAATTATAGAGGTAATACTGTCTGTGGGGGTGAGGCAAGGAATAGCGTGACAAAAGCAGCATTGTTATGTTGTATAATGCAAGAGTCCCATTTCATTTCTAAGCACAGCATGACCATTCAACTGCCAAATGCATACAGGTAAAAATGTGTCTATGGGATTTATTTAATTTTCTTTTTGGAAAACTGGGAACAAGGAGATGTTTATTATTTCAAGACCAGTGATACTCGAGAACACTGATTTGAAATGTTCTTTGCATTCTCCACTATGTATGTACGTATGTATGTGTGTGTGTGTGTGTGTGTGTGTGTGTATATGTGTGTGTGTGTGTGTGTGTGTGTGTGGATCTTTGGTTGTTCGGGTTTTCTCCCGCGTAAGATTTGAAGTATCTAGGCAACGTTTCGATGACGTCTCATTCATCATCTTCAGGCTTCTGTCTTCGGCTCTGTGCTTCTCAGAGCGATGTGAGATTGCAGCTGCTTCTTCCTTTTAACTGCTAGTGGGGGTGGGACTTGATTGGGTGGGGGCTTGGCTGTGTTCTGATTGGGTGGGGGTGTGTTCTCATTGGTAGGGGGTTTGGCTGTGTTCTGATTGGTTGGGGGGTTAGCCGTGTTCTGATTGGTTGGAGGCGTGTTCTGTTCAGGTGGGGGCTTGGTTGTGCTCAGGTTAGTCTTAGTTGCTGGGGGATTTGAGTTGGTGAGCTGTGATCTTGCTGTTTGGCTTCGAGTTCGTGGTCGTGCTGCATCTTCATGGTGGGTGTCGGTTTGCTTCATGTATGGCTCAGAGGGGTTTGAAGTGGGTAGTGATGCAGCTGCAGTGCGGCTTCTGGTCCGTGGTTGTGTCTCATCTTCTGAGTGGGTGTGAGTCTGTTTTCTACATGGAAGTGTTGTGGTGGCATCTTGTGTGGCTCTCATGGGTGTGGGTCTGGTGTCATTCTTCATGTTAGGTACTCGTCTGTTCATGAGGGCGGGTTTCCAAATGGCTGGAAGGTGGGAGGTGTCATCTCGTTTGTTCATGCTGTGTGGGCGTTTTTCTATCTCTATGGCTTCTCTGATTATTCTGCTGTTGAAGTGTTCGGTTTTGGGGATAGTTCTGGTATTTTTAAAGTCAATCTCATGTCCTGTGGCTTTGAGGTGTTGGACCAGGGAAGAGGTCGTTTCTTCTTTTTTGATTGAGTTCTTATGTTCTTCAATGCGTGCACTTATTCTTCTGTTGGTTTGTCCAATGTATGTGGTGGGGCAGGCAGTGCAGGGGATTTCGTATACTCCTTGGTTTTCTAATTTGATTTTGTCTTTGGGGTTTCTTAGGATGGTGGATATTTTTCTGTTTGTGCAGAATGCTGTTTTAATCTTGTGTTTTTGGAGGATCTTGCTGATTTTGTCTGTAGTGCCTTTTATATATGGGAGGAGGGCTTTGCCGTTTTCTTGTTCTCTGTCTTGGATTTTGGTTGGGGTTTCTTTTTGGATTAGGTGGGTAATCTTCTTTCTTTGGAATCCATTGGCTGTTAGTACGTTGGTGAGAGTGTGTAGTTCGGTTTTTTGGTGTTGTTCATCGGCTAAGCATTTTGTTCTGGAGATGAGTGTCTCGGCTACGGAATTGATCTGTGCTGGGTGGTGGTGTGAGAGTGCATGTAGATAGCGGTTTGTATGTGTTTTCTTCTGGTAGATGGTGTGTCCTAGGGAGCCATTGGATCTTTTGTATACCAAGACATCTAGGAAGGGAAGTTGATTGTTGGCTTCTGTTTCCATGGTGAATTGTATTTTGGGGTGTAGGCTGTTGAGGTGTGTGAGGAAGTTGTTCAGTTTTTCTTTCCCGTGTGACCAGATTATGAAGGTGTCATCTACGTATCTGAGCCAGAGTTTGGGTTTGTGGTCGTATTTTTCTAGAGCTTGTGTTTCAAAGTGTTCCATGTAGAGGTTTGCGATGACAGGTGAGAGGGGTGATCCCATGGGTGCTCCTTCTATTTGTTTGTATTTTTGTCCATTGTAGGTGAAGTATGTATTGGATAGGCAGTGGTTGGTTAGATCTAGGATGTGCTTGGGGGGGTTGTATTTGTTTTGGATGGCTGTCAAGGCTTCTTTTATTGGCACTTGGGTGAAGAGGGATATGACATCGAAGCTTACTAGTAGGTCGCTGGGTTGTAAGTTTTGTTTCTTTATGATCTCGATGAACTGGAATGAGTTTCTTACGTGTGAGTTGATGGATTCTGCATAGGGTTGTAGTTGTTTGGCGAGAAATTTGGCCAGGTTTTGTAGAGGTGAGCCTATGGAGCTGACTATTGGTCTGAGTGGGGTTCCTTCTCTGTGTATCTTGGGGAGACCGTAAAGCTTAGGGCATCTGGATGATTTCTCTCTGGGTATGATTCTTTGCTGGATTTCTTCACTGATGGGGGAGGCTTTTATTTTGGATTTGGTAGTTTTTTCTAGGTAGGTGGTGGGGTCTGTCTTTAGGGGTTTGTATGTGGGGTCTTGGAGTAGGTTGGTTAACTTGGTTTGGTAGTCAGATGTGTTCATAACCACTGTCGCGTTGCCCTTGTCTGCTGGTAGGATTATTATGCTGGTGTCTTCTTTCAGGTTAAGTAGTGCCACTCCACCTCAGACTCAGCAACAAGATTCACCCCCTACTTTGGGACAAATCCAAACAACTCGCTGTCTGGAGATCCGAAACACAGACCACCCTCAAGACAAACACACACACCAACAAACTCAGAAAACTACAACAACGCCAGAAACCAACTCCTCCCCCTCCCCCACAGCCACACATGAAACAAACATTGCACAACATCTCAGACAAGATCCTCACCGAGGCTGAAACCAAGGTCCTTTCAAAAGGATTCAACTTTGCTGTCGCTCCCAAACACATCCCCACAGAAACCATCATATGCGGAGTTGAAACCAGCCTGACCAAAACCAACCCTGATGATGCTAACAAAATCAGACTCGAAATCACCAACATCCTCTGCACTAGCAAACCACCCAAAAGCAACTTATCCAAAGAAGAACAAACTGCACTATTTAACCTGAAAGAAGACATCTTTGTTTTACAGTCAAAAGTAAAGACAATTGTATGGACTTTGACTACTTTATATCAAACATATTTCATATACATTATTAAAACTAAAAATTAATTTATCATCAGGTTTAACTCTGATCACTGATAATTTGTTAGTACTCCTTTCTCTAGTTCAAAATAAACATGGTGTATTTATTTTTAGCCAGAGGATTATTACCAGGTTTACCCCAGCCAGTGTAAGGGATTGTTGTCATTAAGTTTCAGAGGGAAAAAAAGGGAGAAAGAAATCATTTCAACCATCTACTTGTGCAAGATTTTGAAGGAGGTTTAACTAATTTGAATAACATAGCTACAACTTTATGGAAAATTTATGGAAATTATTATACTTCCTCTAGTTTGAGGTTGATTTTGAAAGTGCTTGATAATGAGTGATTGTTCACATGCTTCTTGTTTCTGTAGGATACGGTGTGCTTTTGTTTCTCTCACAGTTGTGCAAAGCCAGAACAAACTATGGCAAACTACAAGGCAAAGGAAGAAAAGGATGTGGTCAAACACTTTAATGACGTTAACTTCCCTCTTTGAGGAGAAGGGGAAGCCACTCTGTACCTTCTCTCCAGCTACCCCAGCAGCATAATGGAGTATCTTCGATCACTCTTTGGGAGCCTGCAACAGGCTTTGGTTAGTGGCACCTATCATCTTTCAGGCTTGGGAGGAATCCAGAACCTCTGGCTTATCTTAATGGGGCTTTCTGGCTTCCTGTATTAAAAGTCCACATTTAGTGTTTTTTCCTCTTCACCCCATTTTCAGGATTTTGTTTCCTCGTTCACTACTTATCTTTTTGGAAATGAACCTCATCCAGGAGCAGAAGAGGTAGGAAGTGGAAGAGAGATGAAGAACTGCAGAAGCCACCATGATTCGGAAGTGGAGACAACATATTCTGGGTAACAAGAATCTGATATGGAATCATGATTTGTGTTGGAGTTTATCTGGTAGCCCTGAGGTGCTGTGACCTCTGGAGTAGAATTATCTCTGACCTGCAATAGAATTTACTTCTCCTTCTCCTCCTGCCTTCTTCTGCAGGGATGTTTCTCCAAGGGAGCAATTGAAGGTCACTGAAGGTCCTTTCACAGCGGAGGTAGGTATTGGTTAAGAGGAGGTGGAACAAAATCCATCTGTGCTCGACCTTTCCTTCAACAAAGTCCTTTCTTTTCAGATAACCCCACTCTGTCAGGAGATCCAAGGAACATCAGAAATTGCTGTTATTGGTGATCAGGCAATGGGGTCCTTTATCAGACCTTCCAAATTTCCCAAAAGATGTGAGGGACAGGAGGAATCTGAACAAAAGTTCTCAGGTGACTGAAACTTCTGGAATGTTGGTGATACTATATTGTGAGGAATGAAAGATTCCATCACAGGAAATCAACTGATTTTTTTTGACTAGTGGATTTTTATTATTCTTTCCCTATAGACTTTACAACAGCATAGATGGTAACATTAAATTAAATTAACATCTGTCTTTCTCCATTCAAAAAACTATGTCAGACAAAAACAAATTTCTGAAAGACACAAAATGTAGTAATTACATTTAAAGAAATTGGAAGGCTATACATTTAAAAGTATCTGAAAAATTAACATAACTAAATATAATGAAAAGTTGTACTAAAACACCTCTAATATTTTTAAATTATGAGGAGACACTGCCAAAGATATATATGGTATTAACAGAAATGACCAATGTTTTCCTATAATTTTTTATTGTTTACAAATGTGTTCAAAAGGCTCTTGAACTTGAAAGATTTTCCTACTAATGTGGATTGTAAAACAAGCTTGCACAATCCCTAGAGTTGTATACTCCTGTTTCCTGCCCTTGTATGTGTATATAGGAAGTCAATTTGTTTTTTAGTTGTGCCATTTGCACATGAACTGAAATATATCTGCTTTTACTGGCAAACCCCTCTGACTTGAATAAGGGGCCAAATGCTTTTAGACTTGTTTATTATTCTATTTTATCATTGCATAATTTAATAGGAGTGGAGGATCTAGATTTCATAGTTTTCACTCATTTTCTCATGTTGTTTTTCTCCCATCATTTTCTGAACACTCTCACATAAATCCATTAAAGAGGAAAGGATTAAACAGCATAATGGTGTTTCTTCACAGGTAACAATAGGATCTGGGAGTATCCTCTTTCTTTAGCATTACATTTATATTAATTTATATTTTTCTCAGAGCTCAGGACACTAGAAATGAAGGTTCCCTCTCATCATTACACAAACACTGGGAAATGAATTAGGTTAAGATTTAAAAAAATATATATCTAAGGGAGCCATATATTCTAGTAAGGGCTTGAATCTGAGCTTGCCCAGGTCCAAATTCTTCACCACTGTATCATTGATTCTCAAGCTATGTGATTCAGCTTACACTGAAGAATGCTGAAAATTATATATGCATAATTATATTGCCCAATGTATGTGTGTGCGTGTATGTGTGTGTGCATATATGCCTCTTTATGTGATAATAATTGTGTTGTTACTGTACTGACAAAGATTTGACTTTAAATGGTCCTCTGTAATTTCAGATTATCTTGTGATTTGTCAGGATGAGGTCCATTTTTCTCTCTCAGCTATGTACTTTTTTAAAATGAATGTATTAGCTTGCTTGAAAAGGGTAAAACAGTTTTTTTCCCTCCTGTATATTGCAAGAAAAACATGTGAGAGAGATTATTTCTATCCTTGGTTGTTCTTCTCTATGGTATGCTCTATGGTTCTTCTTGAATTGGCTTTTGACTTCCATAATTTCCAGCTAACATGGCTTTTCATTATGCTAGCAATGAACTATGTTAACACGCTTGGCTGCAAAATGCTGTAAAAGGCTAATATGAAGTAATTGTCCTGTTTTTTAAATGCCCAGAGATAGAAGAGCATTTATTCTATTTTATATTCTGCTTAATTAGGACAGTATTTATTGGTCATATTAAATCAGAATATTGAAACTACTGTATGGGTAAAAGGAGCAGAGCCCCAGTCACAGAAAGCTGTTTTAAATTCTTGAATGATCAGTCTTGGGGAGAAACCCAAGATCAATTTTATATTTTCTTATTTCTGCCCCACAGCATCTTCTATATGCCTCAGTGACACTGCTGAACTAGGATCAACAACACCTATGACTGACAGCATCCAACAGACACCCTTGAAGGCACCAACTATGACTGGCGGACTCTATCAAAGAAAATATGAAGAATCTGCTTTAATGGAAGTTGCACAGGAAGACATAATAGAAGAGTTGACAGATGCAGTTTGTAGTCAGTATTGTAGTCAGTTGAAGCCAGATGAACATTTGGCAGAAAGACGAGAACTTGAGCAAATGGAAAAGGCAGGAAAAACAGGGATGAGTCAGGAAGCAGAACAAGACAGAAATATATTAGCTGAGGGGATTGAGCAAGGAGCACCAAATTGGGCAGCATCTGTAGAACAGAAAAGAGGACCTGAAGGGGCAGAGTGGACTGGGGAAATTGTTCATGATAGTTTGGAAGAGAGAGCTGAGATTATGAATAATCAACAATTAGAGTTTGAGAAAGAACAGGAAGAAGGAAAGGTGGGTGAGAAAGAATGGAGAGAGATTAATATAGCAGCACTAAACCAGGCAGAGGATAAGATGCTTGAAGAGGAAAGAACAGTTGGAAAAAGTCAGCTGTGGGATGAAGAAGAAGAAGAAATCACAGAAGTTCAGGAAAAAGAGTTGGAAAATATGTTGTGGAATGAGGGAATTCAACAAAAGCTCCAAGACTTGACACAGAATAGAGAGGAAAATCAGAGAGGACAAGAAGAGGCAACATTGACTAGGGGAACTCGGCAAGATAGATTGGAGGACATGGCCAAGATGGCAAGAGACCAGCAGTTAAATGTTGAGAAGCAACAAGAAGATACAAAAGTGGATGGGAACGAACAGGTAAAAACAAGTATGACAGCAGAAATTGAAAGAGACCAGGTGACGATGCCAGAAGAGAAAGGAAAAGATGAAAGAAGCTGGAATTTGGAAGAATGGCTGGGAGGAATTGAAGAGGGGAAGGAAAAAAAGCTGGATGAAAAGGAAAGAGGACTAGAGGGAGTTACTTGGACAGATAAACTTCAGTATGATGCACTAAATGTTACAATAATGAAGAGCCAGTGTTTAGAATCTGGGGAGGAACAGGGAAAAGCCACAGAGCTGGACACAGACCACCTGATAATGAAGGAGATAGCAGCAAAGAAGGAAGAAGTTCAGCAACCACCCCTGGACAAAGAGATGGAAACAAGCCAAAAGAAGGCATTAGAACAGGAAGAAAAGGAGATATATCTGCACTGGGAGCCCAAAGAAACTGAGATTATGATAGAACATAAAAGGGAGACACCAGAATTGGAAAAGGGGGGAAACTGTAAGCAGGGAGATTTACCTGAGAAAGGAAAGACAGAAGAAAATCTGAAGCAGGAAGTAGAGGAATCTGTGAAAAATGAGATACATTTTATAGGGGAAAAACAGGAACAGCAAACAAGAGAAGAATGTCGGGAAAGTAACCAGGAAGAACAGCCTGAGATATTGGTAGATACTTGTGGTCTTAGTGTAGAAATGCTGGAAGTGCCTGAGACTACATCAGGTCAGTCAACTCAACTGGAAGAGACCACAAAGAGCCTGGTCTATCCAACCTCCCTTGATACAGACCTCCTGGCTAAACCCAGAGCTTTCCCACATGATGTAAGCATAATTACAAACAAAAGTGCAGCATGAAAATAGTCAGGAGATTGAAGTAATCGCATCCATCTCTATTCTGCAGGTCACAACACTGGATAACAGTGCCCAGAAGGAACGGGTGTTGCTACATCGTAAGAGCTCCATTCGACGAGCACCCAGCTTGAAGAAACCAAAGCCATCAGCAGAGGCTCCAACACAAGAGACAAATATGGCTGAAGATGCTCCATCTTTATTGGAAGTATCAAAGAGACAAAACCCAAGATTGTCTGGGTAAATCTCATCACTACATCCAATAATAATTGAATAGATATTAGTGTTGTCATCTTGAATTTTATCTTAATCTACCCATTTATTTTGCTTTCCCAGGTTTGGGTCTATGCACCCCAATATGATGGCTGAACTTCAGATGCGCCTGCAAAAGCCAAAGTGACTTGCGGTTCTGAGAGCTTTATCAAGTAATGAGCTTGCATGTTTTTGGCTCTATCCTGGATCAAGGCACCCTAAACCAATAATTTTGAAAGCAATGGAAGCACCATCTCTGCTGTCTAAAAACTGAGTAAATTAGATGTCCATTCTAAATTAAATGGTTAGTGAGGAAACATTGTGTACCATATGAATAGAAAATCTGAGAAGTGTTGCTAGACTATCTTGGCAGATCTGATATTTTTAACTCTTCACCTGAAATGGGGAACTCCAGCATAGCCTTCATTCTATTCATATCATACTTTGGAAAAACAAAGTAATTAGGTGGAAACTACCTAACAATTTTGAGAGGTTATCTTTAGATTCCATTATATGGTATGGAGTCTATCCTCACCATGCCATCAATTTAAACTCATCCTTTATTTTACAAGAATTCAGTGAAACTGAAACATGTCCGAAGAAATTACTCTATACATTGAATCCAAGAAGTGTGTGCTGATTAATGATAAGGACTGGGAAAGAGCTTGGAAGACTAGACCAAGAGATGCTGCCAAGGGAACAGTCAGATAAAAGTTAGCAGAGCCCTCATCTGGATAGTGGGCAGAGCAAGAGGCTCCCTAGTTTCTTGGGCTGTAAAGGAGAGGTGTATTTTCAAACACACAAGAGTCTGCCAATGTAGCTTTACAATGAAGTACAATTAGCTCACCTGGTTGTGATTCCTATCTGGTTTACCCTGCAAGGCTACAGTTACAGAGGAGAATTGGCAGCCGATGGCCTGTACTGTATTTAATCTTTATCCCATTTGTCAGAGTTTTCCCAAATTGTCCTCCCACCGCAGTCTTTCTCCCTACCTAGTTTAGGATTTAGACAGAAGATTGAAAAGATAACAAATATTTGATTGATCTATTTTTACTTCCAGGAGAAGATAGAGATGCTTGTAGGATTTTCTCCCTGCAAGTTTTAACCGAAATAACTTGACCTAAGCTTGAATGTAATGCACTTTTGTGAAAAAGGCTTCAGTTGATATAAATACTGTATTTTTTGCTCCATAGGACACCCACAAGTGGGTGGAAATGTCTGTGTGTCTTATGGAAAGATAGATATGTGCCGCGGCAGTGGGGTCCTTTAAAGTGCTGAACCCTGCCTCTTCTGTCTTTGTCACTGCCTTTGTCACTCTCTATTCCGCAGTGCAGGAGTCAATAGGCAGAGCTGGCACATGAGAGGACACCTATCTGTGGTCCTCTCATGCACTGCCTGGTTTTTTTTCCCTTGTTTTCCTCCTCTAAACTTAGGTGCGTCTTATGGTCAGGTGCATCTTATAATGCAAAAAATACGATACTATTTTGGTTGATCTCGGAATCATTTATTTCTCAAGTATGAAAATACTGTTCTTAGACCAATGGCTACAGGACCATTTTCCTGTACCCGGTTGAAGACATTTTTACCTTTTCAGGCTTGGGAGTGATGGTTTTTTTTTTACTGTACTTATTTTATTCAGCTTTAATTGCTACTTTTAATTTTGTTTTCAGGTTTTTTTAAAAAACTTTTAATTGGTTTAAGAATAAGGTGCAACTATTAGTATTTAAGCTTAGTTGTTTTGTTATCTTTTGTTGTATTATTACAACACAGTAAATGTAAATACAGTAATGTATTATTGCAATAAAATAAAAGGTTGCTAGCTTTGGCAGCCCTTGAACTCTCAAATAAATGAGTAAAATGCAGTTATCAAACCATTTTCATTAAATCCTACCAATAATTCCTCACAAGGAAATAATTAATGAGTTGTTCGTCACTTGCATTTAAGCATAGGATAAATGAACCCTGGCATTTTTTTTTTCCTGTTGCATCCCTATGACATCATCAAATTTTCCAACATATACCTGATGGAGCCTAAAGCAATATTGTACTTCACTGTTCCAATGTTAGAGTTGGTTTTCCCACTTAAGTGGGCAATAGCCCATGATAGTTTTCAGATAAGTGCTGTCAGGTGGTCCAATTCATTCATCCATTCTGGTGGTGGTGGTGATTTTGCAGGTGGGGTCAGCTTGGCATTTATCACCCACTTCAGGCTGGTGAAGGCAGTCCCAATATCCTTTTTTGTAAAATTGGTTTTTAAAACAAACAAAAACAAACAAAACATAAAAACCTCAAGCAATCTTCCATATATGTACATACAGTGTGCTGGTTGGTTTACAAATTGTTTTGTGCTTCCATTTCGTAGTCTTCAATTACAATTACATTATATATATTCTCATATTTTCAATCAAGTATTAAATACATTAATATCATTATTAATCAATCATTTGACTATACTTTTATTCATTCATGTTTTACGAAGTCATCATATTTTATTTAATTTGTTTTATGACAGTTCATATTATCATCTCAAATCTATCCTACAATCATTTTGTAGATATAATAGGAAATGAGTACATCTTTATATATTTATTATTTTCTAAGAATCTACATATTTCATTACTATGTTTTATTGTTTAATTATTGATAAAATAGGTCCCAAATTTTATAAAATTGTTTATCATCTTGTTCTCTGATTTCAAATGTCAATCTACTCATTTCAGCACATTCCAATATTTTCTTAATGATTTCCTCCTGTGATGGTATTTTCTCATTTTTCCAGTTTTTAGCAAATACAATCCTAGCCGCTGTTAATACAGTTACAATCAAGTATTTCAAGTCTTTACTATATATTGCAGGTAAAATTCCCAATAAAAATATCTCTGGTTTCAAATCTATATGCTTTTTTGTCATTTTTTCCAACCACGTGTGCATTTTAGTCCAATATTTTTAAGCATCTGCACATGTCCACTGTTGTAGAGCGGCGGAGATACGAGGCTGAGCCAGAGCGTTCGTTTAAAGAGGCTTTATTCGGGTGAATAAAGGGTTGCCGCGTCTGCCAGGCTAACTTGGCAGATCAGCTGGCGGCAACAGCTGATGCCGTTTGACAGCTCCTTTTATAGCCGGCTGTCAAACGGCATCAGCCAATGGGAGCGGTCGGCGCTCCCGCTCAAACTGCGGACCTGGTTGGGAACTCCAGCCAGTTCTATAGACACAACATCCACCACATATGGTAATATGAGCCAGGTGTCTGATGACATTTCCAACATTTTTCAGATTTGTTCTTGAACATTCTTGCTATTATTGTCGGGGGGAAATGCCACCTGTAAAACATCTTATACAAATTTTCTTTATATGCTGTTAACATTGTCATTTTATAATTTTGAGACCACAATTTTTGCCATTTCTCTAGATCAATCCCATATCCAAAATTCTTCCCCCAAGCAATCATTGTTTCTTTAACTTGTTCTTCTTCTAGTTTAATTTCTAATAGATATCCATACAATTTTCATCACCTTTTCATCAGTACCTGTCAAAATCTTATCTAAATCAGTCAATTTATCATAGGAACCTTCTGTTTTAAAGTCTTTATCATACCTTGAATGTATTTGTGCATATGAAAACCAATTCATCTTTATGCCTTGTTCCTCTAATTTTTGTATAAATTTAAGTTCACCCTTTTCATTCAATATTTCACCATATCTGTTCCTTTTTATATATTATAGGATAAGAAAATGCTTCAATAGTCGATAGTCAGACTGGAATTTTCAAATAACATTGTCTTTTAATCTTCTCCCAGTTTAGCTACAGAGACTCCCGTATATAATGTCTTCTAAAATACCCCTGCGTTTTGGTTCCTTTATACCATAAAAAAGCATGCCACCCCAACAACAGATCATGTCCTTCTAATGTCAACAATCTAGTATTTCTTAATGTTATCCATTCCTTAACCCACATCAAATTTGTAGCTTGGTAATACAACTCCCAATTAGGCAAACCAAATCCTCCTCTTATTCTAGCATCTTGCAAAAGTTTTAACTTTATTCTCGCTTTCTTATCTTGCCATATATATTTCTACACAATTTTATTTAAATCTTCAAAGTAATCTTTTCCAAGCCTAATTGGAATTGTTTGGAACAAATATAAAATTCTGGGTAATATATTCATCTTGATTGTTGATATTCTCCCTATTAATGACAGTTGTAAATTTTCCCATTTTGCCAAATCTAGCGCTATCTGCTGCTTAAGTTTGATATAGTTATTATCTTTTAGTGTACTGCATCTAGCTGTCAAATATATCCCCAAGTACTTAATCTTATTCATGACCTGAATTTTCAATAGGTCTGCCAGTTCTTCCTTTTGTCTTGATAGCATATTCTTTGTCAAGATCTTTGTCTTATCTTTATTTATTTTCAGACCAGCCACCTTTCCATACGCCTCTATCTTTTCTATCAATTTTGATGCTGTTTCTAGTGGGTCTTCTAAAATGAAAACCAGATCATCTGCGAATGCTTGCAACTTAAATTCTTTCTTTTTAATTTTCATCCCTTTAATATTCTTTTCTTCTCTAATATTTCTGTTTAGCACTTCCAAGGTTAATACAAACAACAGAGGTGATAGTGGGCACCCTTGTCTTGTTCCTTTTCTTATCTCAATAGAGTCTGTCAGTTCTCCCTCTATCATTACCTTTGCCGTTTGCTTATGATATATGGCTTCTATTGCTTGAATAAATTTTTTAGCAAAGCCCATCTGTTTCAGCTGTAATAACATAAATCGCCAATTCACATTATCAAATGCCTTCTGTGCATCTAGAAATATCAAAGCCATTTGTTTTTCAGGATGTGCCTCATAGTATTCCAAGGTATCCAAGATTACTCTCATATTGTCTTTAATTTGTCTCTTTGGCAGAAATCCATTTTGATCAGGATAAATAAAATTGTTTAAGTATTTTTTAAGTCTTTCTGCTAATATTGAAGCAAAAATTTTATAATCTGCGTTTAGTAAGGAAATAGGTCTGTAGTTCTTAATTTGTAATGGATCTGCCTCCTCTTTTAGGACAAGTGTAATATAAGCTTCTGACCATGATTTAGGTATCTTCTTCTTTAGCATAACTTCATTCATAACTTCTAGCAATGGAAGGTTCAACAATTCTTGTAATGTTTTATAAAATTCTGCCGGAAGTCCATCTGGGCCTGGTGCTTTTCCATTATTTTGGCAGTCCCTATATCCTATGACCCTGTCAAGTGTCTTCCAGAATTGTTCTGGTTTGGGCAATAGGAAAGTCCAGCTGTTTCAAACTGTACTTTTCCTCTTTGACATCTATCTCTTTAATCCAGATATTGATGAATCTCCAGATTGGGAGAGGTGTTGGCTCCTTCCCAGGATCTGGGAAGACACTCATGTCCTTTTTAACCTGAGAATTTATTTGAAATTTTTCAACTGAGGTTTACAAATTAGAGAGTTGTTATTTAAATTTTCTTCCCAAAATTGAATCTAGCATCTTATTTTGAACATTTCTATAAGGTCAGAGGTAACAAACCTTATAAATATAGATCTCAGCACTAGTCTACTGATTATGGATAAGAACTAATCATAATTTCTTGACCATAGAAGGGAGTTCTGAGAGGGGAAAGGTAAAATCTGAAGAAAGAAGCCAAGATAAAGATCTTGGGAAAGAGAGTAGGGTTTTTCATAATGGAATTGGGGCCAAACAGGAAACCTCGACCAGGTGAATTCAGCCAGCAACAGGAAATTTCCTTTTGCTGATGAATATATAACTCATATTCATAGATCTAATAGATGTAATACAATGTTAGATACTCCTTAAATATATTGGCATTGGATTTTAGGTTTAAACTAATTGATTAATCAATTAATTATATGAAATGACAAACTCTCTTTTGATCATTTAAAGATACCACAAATAAATCAGGCAATCAAATTTAACTAAAATAATATTTTTATTAACCAAAATTTAAAATCATGAAATGATCAATTCAAGCTTTGAAAAGGCAGTATCACTCAAAACATTTTCTCAGATCTGTTTTAGAAAATTTAAGAATAGTTTCTCCATAATCCATTGGGATTATACATTTATACTGTATATCTTTCTGTAGATACCTTCAAAATTCTCTGGCCCATTTGAGTAACTAGCCATTTTAAAAAAATAGATAAAATAGTAGCCATCCATATTTTTATGGATAAACACAATATTTAAAATTCCCTGCAAACTAGCTGGCAATTTTTTCTGACCTTTAAAAAACAATAACTTTTACATTGAAAGTGCATTCACTGAACAGTTGTATATGTGAACTGGCCAAAACACTGCTTTAACAAATAAGTTAAAATAATAAAATATTTAGAAAAAATAAATAGATATATAAATTAGATATTTTATATAATTTAAAGAACAGCATGAACACCGAGATATCAGGATGTCAGTATTCCTTAGTTGTTTGGAATCAGGTGATGGAGTTTAAAAGAGGAAATGTTAAGATTAGAAAATCTTGGAAGGTGAAACCACTTTAGACATCCTCATCCTGAGCATCCAAAAATCTCGTGCAACCCGAAGCAGGAAGCTTTCAAGAGAACGAAGGACAATATATACTTCTTGGCGGTTCGTCCACTGCCTGTGGTGTTGAAGGATCTGAGGAGTTGATATAGGCTGGATATCAGATGATAGGCCCCCAGATTTAATCTGTAGGAAAAATGAAAACTGAATAATACAGCCAAAACCAAAGGACATCTTCCCCTCATCTGTGCTCCCCCAAAAAGAGTGGTAAGCTACCTGGTAGTCCACTTGATAACCAAGATCTCGGAGGTCAATATCGATACCTTCAAACTGAGAGGAGAATTTGGAATTTTCTTTGATTGCTTCAAAGTTTGTCAGTTGTTGTACTAACTTGTGATAAAATGAAATGGTCTTGGCTATCTGCGACAATCGTTTGGCATCCTGGAGAGAACGAAAACAAAACAAAGTCAACCACTGAGGTATTCAGGCATTATTGTCAAAAATAACAGTTCTGAAAAATATTAGGGAAATGATTCTGCTCCTTATCGTCTATCTCAATAAACACATTAAGAATTGGAGACAGGAGTAACTTCACTCTAGGGAGAAAATGTTACTTGTGGTTGTTTACCATATTCTGGCTGAAAATGGCTTACTTAGCTCCATATCTATATTGCCTGGTGAAACTTATCAGACAATTTAATAAGCATTTTTGATCCAAAAATTTTCATTCCAAGCAAAACTAATCAAAATAACAGACTACAGAATAATAGTTGGAAGGAACCTTGGAGGCAGAGGTGGTATTCAGCAGGTTCTGACCAGTTCTAAAGAACCAGTAGCGGAAATTTTGAATAGTTTGGAGAACCGGCAAATGTCACCTCTGACTAAAGATTTTATAGTATCCTTCCCCTGCCACTCCCACCAAGCCATGCCCATCAAACCGGTAATAAAAAAATTTGAATCCCACTACTGCTTGGAAGTCTTCTAGTCCAAGGGTCTCCAACCTTGGCCACTTTAAGCCTGGTGGACTTCAACTTTGCTGGTTGGGGGATTCTGGGAGTTGAAGTCCACCAGGCTTAAAGTGGCCAAGGTTAGAGACCACTGTTCTAGTCCAATCCCTTCTCAAGCAGGAAACTCTACCATTTCAGCCACCTAGTTGCTCAATCTCTTCTTAAAACCTTTTAGTTTTTAAAGTTCTCTCTGAGGATTACTTGGCATTCTTTGCACTATAATGAAATTACAATTGTTAGCATTCTTTGTGGAGACAGTGGGTTTGATAGAAAAACAGGTTAAATTATATAAGTCGGTGAATAGGTACTGCCTTCTTTCCAGCTGTTAAGTATCTTGTTTTCCTAGCGAACTGGATCCATTATTTCTGGCTTTCAACCATCAAGTTGCTCTGACATTAGCTTGTTGTTCCTTTTCCTGTAGGCATTGATCACCAACAAGAGAGGAACTTTGCAGTGATACTTCAGTTGCCTTCATTCAAATGCCTTATACCAAATTTGGCACTTGGGGAGCACATTAAAAACTGATGTGTTCTGACTTTTGAAAGATGAGATCATATCTACAGTTCAAAAATCCACAGGGGTATTATATGGTGACAGAGGTATTGAAAGCTAATTCATTGCTGGACATTCCGCATGTTTTGTAGCCCAAATTACACAAAGCTTAGTCCGGGCTCAACCTGATGTATTTTGTGATTGGTGCTTGTAATAAATGCCACTGTTTCTTTTATTGGCCTTTAGAAGAACTTCGAGAATTTTATTGCATAGTACAAAGTGCAAAGGTAAAAAATATATGTATGTATTCTTACTGAAAGAGAGCTCCATGTCTGAAAATCAAGGCTGTTTGAGGGAAGATGCCTCAAGTGGGAAATAAGAGGGACCTCAACTCCAGGTAAACGGACCAAAAGCTGGAAAAAGAGAGAGTATGATTGTAAATAGATTTTCAACCAATCTTGTAGTAGAGCATTAAGAAGCATATGTTACTTGAATAGAGAACGGTATGATTATTGAATAACTCAGAGCTATCATTCCAAGAATGCTGAACCAGAATATTTCCCTTTTACTGCTGGATTCCTGAGGGAAGTGGGATAAAATGCAGAAGGCCAAGGTTCCAAGAGATCTCTAACAGTTAACCCAGTGGTGGAATTCAAAATACTTTACTACCGGTTCTGTGGGCATGGCTTGATGGGCATGGCATGGCTTGGTGGGTGTGGCAGGGGAAGGATACTGCAAAATTCCCATTCCCTCCCCACCCCACTAACCTGCTTTCCAGGTCCATTCTCCTGTGCAGGGCAACAAAAGAAGACCCAGGTGATCAGCTGGGACTCAGGAGGCAGAGAGTAATGGGGGTGGGGCCAATCAGAGGTGGTATTCCGATCTATTCAAAATCTCTGCTACCAGTTCTCCGAACTACTCAAAATTTCTGCTACCGGTTCTCCAGAACCGGTCAGAACCTGCTGAATACCACCTCTGAGTTAACCTTCCAAGAGGTTTTGAGTGATAAGGACATGTAATACTAAAGCTCTTTGTGAAGTCAAGTATATTTTCCAAGACTCAGTATCTCTAGTTATAACCCTAATGGAGCCTGCCCGTTATAGTTGCAAGCTATAAGGATCATAAAAGGTGGCTCTTAAGGTAACACTGGGGTGATTAAGGAAACGCATTATTCCCTCTGGGTGCATTTTTGTCAAAAACCAGATACAGATTCTGATTTTCAACAGAAACATCATACAATGCAGGCACATGATTTCAGGATGCTGCAAATGGCCATAAATGCAGGCTGGTTAGTGAACATCCAAAATGTAGTCACATGGAGTCTGGATAGGTGATCTTTTAATCTGGGTCATAAGCAATTTTTTTCAGATCTGTCATAATCACAAATAATTGCTAAGTGACCAGTCATAAGTGAAAATCTACCGGCTACAAATGTGGTGGCTACAAATATTTATAGTAACTCCTGAACAGAAGCAGAGCTGTTTTATGAACAGCAAGCTTTCTTTGTAATTCAGTGCCAAAAAAAGCACATCTGAGCCAGTAGTGGGATTTAATTTTTTTTACTACCAGTTCTGTAGGTGTGGCTTGGTGGACGTGGCAGGGGAAGGATACTGTAAAATCTCCAAAATTTCTACTCAAAATTTCTGCTACTGGTTCTCCAGAACTGGTTAGAACCTGCTGAATACCACCTCTGATCTGAGCAGTTCTTTTCAAGGCAAGCAATATACATTGGCTTCTCAGTCTCATTTATTGAGGCTGTCTGTATTATTCTACATTCCACATTACTAATTCCCAGTTCCTAATTTCACATTACAAAACAGAAAAGTTCCAGATTTGGAGAAAGATTTGATGGAACCAACTCAAAACTTCAGTTTCTCTGCCATTCCTTTAAGATGCTGATATACCTTATGGATTTGTTCTGTCTGATTTTAACAAAATCTTATGTGGTAAGATTACTTGGGAGATACCTTGTGAAGATTTGAGTCCAAAATGGAATATACAGAGAGTCCTTAAGTTGTGACCACAATTGGGCCCAAAATTTCCATTGCTGAGCAAGACAAGTGTTAAGTGAGTTTTGCCCCATTTTGCAACCTTTCTTCTCACAGTTGTTAAGTAAATCATTGCAGTTTTAAAATTTTAAATTAGCACGTGAATCTGGTTTTTCCATTGACTTTGCAATGCCCTACCTGTCAATGAATACTTCAGCTTCAACCATAACAATACAAGAGCACACAGTAGCACACAAACTCAAGATTAACAGCACCAAACTTGATTGCAGGAAATACGACTTCAGCAACAGAGTGGTCAATGGCTGGAATACTCTCCCTGACTCTGTGGTTTCTTCCCCAAACCCCCAAAACTTTAACCTTAGACTGTCTACTATTGACCTCACCCCTTTCCTAAGAGGTCTGTAGGGGGCGTGCATAAGCACACCAATGTGCCTATCGTCCCTGTCCTATTGTTTCTTTTTCTTCTTCTTATATGTATGTATCTATGTATTCATAACTATGTTTTTACTTATATCTATTATCTTGTAAATAAATATGGGGAAAAGAGATACAGGTTAGGTAAGGAGACTCTCAAGAAAGTAACTCCTTAGGAATAATTATGTTCATGGCATAACTGCTCTTCTGTTGTTTCAAACCTTCATTGTCATTTTGCTCTAGTAGAGCATTTCTCAGTTATCATGTCTTTAAGTTGTGTGGACTTTGATTCCCAGAATTCCCCAGTCATTCCCTGGGGACAGCTCTGGAAATGATGAATGCCTTGAAAAAACTAATCTAACAGAGAAGGGATGTTAATGCATAAATAAGAAAGTGAAGAAATCTTGTGCGAGAAAAAGAAGCACAAGTGTTGTGTTCTTTCACAAAATGTTACATCAGTGGCCTCTAGGGGCCAAATGATAATAAACTACTGAAAACAAATTGACCCAAATGTTGAATTTTCCAATAGAAAACAGTTTTCCACAGCAAAACTCTGAAACAGTCTTCAATAGCACCTTTTAAATTGACTTTTGGGTGCATCATAGCACTTTTCTCAATCAAATCTTATAAGAAAAAGAACAGCCATAAAATTACTGTGAATTTATTTCCCGCACCCAAATCTAATTTTTGACTGAAATTTTAAACTCACTTTTTATTCAACTTTCATTTAGAAGACAGGATGATAACCACATTTTTTTAAAAAATCTATTGTTTAGATTTTATCAATTAGTTGCTCAGTTTTATTGATTTGGCCAATTTATTAGCCAATATATGAAATAATATATTTAAAACATCTGCTTAGTTCAGTGAGAGTGGAAATTTTGTAAGTTTCTCCACTTCTTCTCCACATGTCCATGTATGCTTTATGTATGTATGGCCAGTTCTTTGGTCTCCCCTTATCATTGAGTAAACCTGGGGCAGTCATTCAATCTCAGCCCACCTCATAAGGTTATTGTGGGGAAAAGAAGAGGAAGGAGTGTGGAATATAACACCTTGAAACCCTTTACAAAGTGTAGAATATAAATCAAATAAGCCAGAAGTTGCACATTGTGCATGAGAGTGAACAATGAGAGAACTAAGATTCTATTCTATCCTCTGATTAAAACTTTCAGGAGGAAGAATTTTCCAGAATCTGATTTCTAGAGAATGGTAAAAATTTTTTTTAAAAAGCTATGCAAATTCTTTCTATCTTTTCTTTTCTTTCAAAATTTGTATTTTCCTATTTATATTTTTACTGCTCCTGTATTTTTTCTCTTGGCAGTTCATCTATCTCTGAGTTAAATCACCCTATATTTTATTCTTTCCAACCACTGAATATTTCTTTGTATAACTGTGACTGCCATTTTCCCTTTAAAAAAAAAATCCACCTCTCTCTCTGTTTATTAAGAGACTGGCCTATCTCCCCACTGAAAAATATGGTCTGATTTTCTTAGTAATGTACTGTATCTCAACATAACTGAGCTAGGTGATGGCACAAATTTTATTTCCTTTTTACAGGTAATCCTCGACTTGCTACCAATTCCTTAGAGACCATTTGAAGTTACCACAGATTTGAAGTTCTGACAGCCTCCCTCTATTTCCCATAATCACATGGCTGCCCTTGCGCTTTGCAACTGGCTAGCATTTACAACCGTTTGGCATTTTACAACAGTTTTAACAAAAGCCAGCATTTACTTCTGGTTTTTGCCAAAACCAACCCACAGGAATTATTGCCTTGCTTAATAACCATGATATTTGCATAACAGCCACCACAATTAAACTAGTGGTGTGTGCAGGACTGAATGCAATACTCCTAGTAAGGCCTGACCAAGGCGGAGCAGAGCAGAATAATGATATATTGGTGGCAGCAATTGTTCCTAAACTGCATACTAAGGCAGAAGGCAGAGTTAGAGCATTTACTTTTGGCATTGGGGGTGGGGGGTGGGTGGGTGGGCTCTCAGAGAAGGGATTTGAGAGCTCTGCAGCCTTTCTTCTGACCAAATCATCAACTTCTGTCTGCCATTCAAGGGATGGAAACAACTATTATTCCATTCTTACTGACATTTATTAATTTATATTTATATATGTTTACCTATTTTTCACATTTCTATTTCGCTAGACAATAAAAACCAGCTAAGTAAAATATCTTTGATACAACCACTCTAAAACAGTAAAATACCAGCATTCAAACATGTTTCTAGGAACTATCAAAAGAAAGTAAAGATGGCATGATAAAATCAGAGAAAGTCTGTTCAAAACAATCCCCTCTTTAAGGGGCTTCCAACACAAATGACAAGGATGGGATCTAATTTCTAACTGAAGCTTGTTCCATGGAATAGATGTTGCCACAAAAAAGCAGAAATATCTTGCTTCAGTTTCCCCATGTGACATCACTAACGTATTCTCTAATTTAATTCACCGACCCTATATTCATCGGAGTAGGCAGTCCTACAAGACACACAGATGTCAAACCATAAAATAGTTTATAGGTTAAAAACAATATCTTCAAGTATACTCAGAAACTGATAGTAACCAATGCAGGTCCACAAAATCAATGTTATATACACCCAGCAACAGGAGTAAGCATACAGGATCAATTGTAGTTTGCAAATAGTTTTTAAGGGCAGCCCCAAATAGAATACTGTAGCCATAGAAAGAATGATGCTTGGTTAATAAATTGACAGAAAAAAGAGAAATAATTCAAAAGTAGGAGCTGCCTTCTCCTTGGGGTATCTTCTAATTCGTATCTACGAACTTACGGTCTTTGAGAAGATAGAGTAGTAGACTTACGTAAGATCTTGTAAGAGCCTTTGTTTTGCGAAGAAGTTGCCGTGAGAGTTTTAGGCTCATGCTAAATTCTTTCTGCAAATCTAGCTTCTTTTCAGAGATGGTCTCAAGCCCAGATCCCTTCTCCTCTTGGAGTCCAACTGAAGGGGCAGCAAGAAGGATGTCAAACTTGAGAAGAACTTGGAGGAGGAGGAGAACTGCACCTAGAAAGAAGATTGAGATAGTTAGAGAAAAAGTTAGAGAGAAACTGGGAAAGTCAGAAAATTGGATGCTACTGTATTTAAGCCAGGATAATATACTTATAAAACACTGGTGTCATCAGAGAAAAATAGGTACACATCCACATCAAAACCTTTGAAGACCCTTCTTTTTCTGCAGATATAAACCTCAGTGTTTACATGTTAACCATACCTGTATATTGAAGCAATGGGGGACAAAAATATAAAAATGGTAGGACATCCTCCCATAAATAATTAAATTCGCAATCTAAAATTAGCTGGTTCATCTTCTGTTGGGAAGTGAGTTTTTCCCATAAAATTTCTGCTATAGTGTCTCAGGATTAATATGTTTATCCTAGATTCTTTTTTATTTATTTGATTTGTCAATTGCTTACAAAATAATAGTTATAAGTATAAACATGAGTAGGAATACAGAAAATAGGTATGATTAAATGGGACAATAGGACAGGGACAGGAGGCACAATGGTGCACTTATGCACGCCCCTTACAGATCTCTTAGGAATGGGGTGAGGTCAGTAGTGGATAATTTGAGGTTAAAAGAGTGGGGGGTTGAGGATATAACTACAGAGTCAGGTAGTGCATTCCAGGCATTGACCACTCTGTTGCTGAAGCAGTACTTTCTGCAATCAAGTTTGGAGCGGTTAACATTGAGTTTGTATCAGTTGTGTCTTCTTGTATTGTTGTAGTTGAAGCTGAAGCTGAAGTAGTCATTGACTGGTAAGACATTGTAGCAGATAATTTTGTGTACTAAGCTTAAGTCCAACCATAGGCGATGTAGTTCAAGATTGTCCAAGCCCAAATTTCAAGTCTGGTGATATAGGGTATTCTGTTGTGAGCAGAGGAGTGTAGTACTCTTCTCGTGAAATACTTCTGGACTTGCTCAATTATATTAATGTCTGATATACAGTGCGGATTCCAGATCTCATTTATGGATTTGTTACATGATCACCTCACCATTCATACTGGGGAAATCCATTTGAGGGGAATTTCATTTTACATAGATGCTACCTACAGAGAGCTTTTTGGTGATGTTGAAGTTTCAGTTAATTTCTTAAAAACTGCATATACCTCAAAGCAAAGCTGAGAATCTACTAGGAAAATCGATGGAACTAGGAAAGAAAGGTGTAATCCAAAGCTGAAATGGTAGCAATAATAGCCACAATGAAAACATTCGTTTAGCCTTTCCCAATCTGATGATCAAAACATATGCCTGACTAAACGTCTTTTTAGCCTCAGCCAGAATAAGTGTGTTGGGAATTTTAATCTGAGGCAGTTTAAGAAAGTCTTGGATTATAGCAGTGATACAAGTTGAAGATCCTTGATCAAATATTTGATCCTCTCTGAATCTGATGCTCGTGCATTATTGTTTTCAAAAGGAAATGGGAAGGCTACATCTTAATCATTCAATCAGTTACAGTACTCAGATGATTATTTTGTAGAATTCTCTGTTGCCTATGATAGAAAATCCAAATATTCTTTCCTTCTCTGAAGGTAAACGATAGTACAGTATTAAAGCTGACAACAGCCAGAGCGTAGAAAAACTCAAAGAAAAGTCAAAAGATATGGAGAGACCTGACCCATCAACAAGAATGAAACTCAGCTAAAGGGATATCATCATCATCATCATCATCATCATCGTAATAAACTAAATATTCTTGAACAAATATCTATTTTTACAGTATATCCTCACTTTCCTCCACCAAAACTCAACTGTGCACATAAAGACTGTTGATAACCTCTGATCCAGACCTGTAATGTCATCAGAACTGGTTTTTAATAAGGACATCTGATTCATATTTTGAAGTAGGTGGAGTAGTACACATTATCAACTAAACAGACATCTCCTGTAAAAGCATTATGTCCAAAAGCTGAGATAATCTACCTATTCAGCTTTGATATTGGAGAAGACTCCTGAGAATTACTGTAGACAGCTAAGAAAACAAATCAATGGATCATCAAACAAATCTACCCAGAGTTTCTCTCAGGATTCAAATGAGAAAGTTCAATTTATCCTAGTTCAAATACATTATGGGAAAACCCAGCTCTTTTGGAGAAGATTTAAAAACTGGGAATGATAGAAGAAAAGAGATGATTATATTCTTATTCTATCTATAAGAATATAATTATGCACAAATTAATATCTGTAAATATTGCACAAATGATTGTTATACGAAAAGCACCACAAATAGACGTTATTGAGTGATATATTTTTTATGTTTTAATATAATAAAAATTCAATAAAGTTTATTTTAAATAAAAGAAGAAAAGAGATGACCAGAACAACCGGATGACCAAGGATGACAGCAGCAAGGTGGATGAACTCCAGTATTGAGTACACCATTGAAGGACAAAGTTAGGAATGGATCATGACGGAAAAATCTATTTTTGTGGTTGTTAAGAGTAAAGAATAACACATAATCAATTAATCAACCAATTGATCCAGGATGTTTCTGAACTGAAATCTATGTCCTGTTAAGCTTGAAATGCATATTAAAGTTTATACTTCAGATTATGCCAAACTACATCATTTAAAACTGCTATCTCAGGTGCCTTATGCTCCTTTTAGCTAATACGATCCTCGTGATAATTCTTCTAGTCATTGACTCAGCCAGGCCGGCTTCCATGGCAAGAAACACAAATAAGCATCTTTTCACATAAGAACAACAGGTAAAAGCATTTTTTTTTCTTATCTTACCGCTTGGACACATCCTGATGCTTTCCACTTCGTGGGGGGATCTCTATTCACCTCTTTGAGAAGTCTAATCCTGCAGCCCATTCTGGGGGCCTTTTGAAGAACACCAGCTTTCATTTTCGTGGGACACAAAATGTCCAAGATTACACTGCAGTTTGGAGTTTTGATTATCTGGTTTCAGGGGCAAAAAAACCCTCTACCCCCAGTTATTCTTACTAGAGTTTCAGGGCGGAAGAGTAATGTATTGGAACAGCAAATATTTTTTTAAAGTTCCTCTTTTTTTTCTCTGAGGAAAAAGGAAATACGGCCTTGGTCATGTGAATAAGGTCCTCCTTATACTTCAGATTCTTCTCTCTCTCTCTCTCAACACGGACTTTTCTGAAACTGCCTACTGACTAAAATGACTCTATAGATAAGCAACCACATTCTTCAATCTACTGATTGCCAATAACCAAAGTCCTTTCTTTTAGTTTCTCCTAATCATGGACATTTTAGCTCAATCCCATGTTCCATGAAGTATCCTAGTTTAAAGCAAACAGAATCTGCCTTCTTGCAGGTTAGACTTTGTGTCCTGTACAATTTGATTTTGTGATCTGTACAGTAGAGAACAAGTCTTTTTCAGATGGATAGATGGATGGATGAAAAGTACAAAATAGATGAATAGTGCAAAAAGTAGGGAGGTGACCAACTCCCTACTTCCAACTTGTAGGAAACAGAAGTACTAGAATGCTACAGTATCATAATTTCCCAAAGTTTAGGAACTGTGTATTGTACTTATTCATAAACACAACTTATATTTCACTATATTGTTTGCCATGTGCCCTCTGAACAGCAAATGAATTTGAAATTATCTTGAATGTAATATCTTATCTATACAAGAAAACCTATTATACCAAGAATGTGTAGATCTGCTCCCATATGACTCTATTTGGAGGAAGGATAGGATTAAACTGTTTATTAATAGACTTGTCTTAGATATGCAAAACATTAGAGATGGTTATCTCAGTAGAATTATCTTTGTGTTTCATGATGATTCAGCACAGAGATGAAACTGGAAGCCGGGTTTCCCACTTACAACCCAAAACCTCTAGTAGTTGCCACTGTAGGAGATGAATAAATGATCACTACAAACCTACCATGAAAGTTAGAAGTGGAATGCTGACTTAGATAAATTTCTATAGATCATTTCAGGAAGTTGTTACTAAAAATAATGTTTACAAGAATTATGACCTGAAACTATGAGTTAAATCAGTCCAGTACCAAAAGGCTCCCACAGAGGAAACTTCCTATTGCATCTCTTCATGGTTTAGTTAATAATCACTTTTGTTCATACACGAAAGTAAATGAGTTGGGAACGTGGATTTAGTTGATAGAGGTCTGCAGCAAGAATTTTCCAGGAGGTGAGAAAAGGTGTTAACTTTTTTTTCCTTTTGGGCTAAAGTCTTAATAAAAGCTGCCCTTCTGAAGACATTTACAACAGAAATACTAATAGCAATTGAAGGTCTAGTTTTGATTAGGATCATATCCCAGCCAGCATAATCAATGATTCAATATAATACACCTAATCTGGTTAGGAAAGGCTGTCCTAAACACAGCAGGACAGCTAACTGCTATTAATGTTAAATAAATCTTGATTTGACCTTTAATAAAGCAAAAAAGTCCTGCTTATAAAAATCTTTCCTGAATCTATGATTCAGGAGATTCATGTGGTCATGAAACTCCCTTATGTTTATGTCATCAAGGAAGATTTCAATCTAATTTTCAGTTTCTCTTCAGACTCAAACTGGCAGTTTAGTCATGATTTCAAATGACTCATTCCATCAAAACATTTCACTGGGCTGCAACTATTACTTACCAAAGGAGAGTCGTATTACTATTGTATAGATATGAAATTGTTCGTTTTCAATTATATCTTGGTTCAAATGTTTTAATTGGGCATCATCCAAAATCTTTGGCATGGGAAATATAAAAATATTGTAAATAAAGAAACAATACCCCTCCTAGCTTCACCTATTTTGACTCCCATTTTTAAAAACAAAAATCATTCCAGAAAAACCTGGAATAATTCCAGAAGAATAGACCACTGGTGCAAAGCCCTGGAGCTGAAGTATAGTATGAATCAGATAATAATCTACCATATCAATTAATTTATCAAAAAGTTTAAATCAATCTGCACCTGAGAGATCAATCAATATCTATACCAGTGTTGTTTTTGAGTTCATTTCTTTGAAAATACTTTCCCCAATAAATACAAATGTCTGGAATCTGCTAACTAAACTCAAGGCTTTTTTGGATGCTAGTGTAATTGATTTACCTAAGCCTTAGTCTTTTTCCAAGATTGACCCTTCTTTTCTGTCTAGCATGATTTCCACTTGTTGTTCCTTGCCTATCTTCAACTTATTGTCCACATAATCCTTTCATTTTATAATCCAAGACTAATATTTAAAAGAAGATATTGCAACATATCAAATATAAAACATATAAATTATGTATACAGAAAATCATGAAGCAATTAATAGTGTAAGGAAAAGTAGTGGGTGATCTCTGAAAGCCATGTCTATTCGTAAAAAATTAGTAGCCTTATTGGAGATGTAGCCTAATTACAGCTGAGTAAGAAAATTAAGGGTGAAATAAGGAATCTAAGTTATGTCCTTTAAAAATTTGGATTGGATAGCTTCTGATCTAAAAGTATCTTTATATCACGGGCATAAATAACTGACATCAGAAATTTATCTTGAAAAATGTGATAGCTGTTCTTACATAGTTATTACTGTGTTGACACACATATGCAATAATGGCAAAAGATGCTTTTTGTATTCTTATGTGATTCTTTGCTTAATTGATCCAGTGATGATTTAAAGTATATGCCTAGATACTTAAAGGTGATGACTTGCTCAATAGGTCTATTGTTAATTTAGGTAATCAGGGATGTGAAAAGTTTCCCGGAAAATAGTAAGGTTGTTATTTTAGAGCGCAGTGTCCGAACTTTCTGGTTTTGCATACTGGCGGGGTTGGGGGAGGGAGGGGATAGTTCTGAATGTACATGTGCTAGCCCGCCACTTCCGCAGTATGGTTCTGAATGCGCTGCGGCCTGGTGGTAGGCCACAGCCTGAGGGTCGGGGACCCCTGTTTTAGGGTAATTGATCTTACAACATTCTCTAGGGCAATAGGAAGATAATACTTTAAAGTGTCTAGATAACTTGGTGCAGCCATCTCAGCACAGCCAGCTCACCGCTGCCAGCTCACCATTGCCAAATTGCCTCTGCCAACTTACTACCACCAAATCATCAGTGCACAACTCAACACAGCCAATTCGCTGTGGGGACAACTTACCACAGGCAGCCAGAGGGAGAGCAGAGTGGGCAGGTGGGCCTGCGCGTGGGCGGGCAGAGCACAGAGCAGCGGCAGCGGCCAGGGGCCTCCCGCTGAAGGGAGAGCCGAGTGAATGGGTGAATGAGTAAGTGGGTAGAGCTCCAAGAAGTGACAGAAGGGTGTGTGAAAATGGGATGCCACAGCTTCCCCAGCCTCCCCCACTGCCTACCTTATATACTGCTGCTACCACCACTCTGAGCTCTGCCTGCTGCTTGCTTGCCTGCTTGCTCTCCCTCTGGTTGCCTGTGGAAGTTATCTCCACAGTGAATTGGCTATGTGGAGTTGTCTTGCCGCTACTTGGTGGCAGTGAATTGGCAGAGGTGAGTTGGTGGTGGCAGGTTGGTTTCAGTGAGCTGGCTGCGCTGAACTAGCCATGCCAAGTTGTCCCATTCTGTCTACCCAAGTGCATCTGTGTTATGGAGAGAATAGCTGCACCATCAACATAGAGAAGAATGGGAACCATGAGCAATGAACAAGAATGGGAAATGAAAGTGTGATTTAGCAAAAATTGCAACCTTATTATTAATATATAAATCAAACCATTATTTGCTAGACTGCAGTCTTTTTTTTTTTTTTACACGTTTTGGGATAGAGATAGGTTAAGTAAGGTTTCCTTTACAATGTATTTATTTTTTCTTATTCTGAAAAAAACTCACTGTAACTCATTCTATATTAATGGGGGAGTATGTGGAATATGCATGGACCACTACATATTTCACTAGCCAACTTCATCCTTCCCTTTTACAGTACTGACATCCGCTTCCTCCAAATATACAGATAATGAACAATTGTACAGGTGTTTACCACAGCTGTGAATGTCCCAAAGGTGCTTTTTCAAGAGGCAGCTAGACTGTCTGAATTTTCTTTAAAGATGTTTCACTTCTCTTCCAAGAAGCTTCTTCAGCTCTGACTGGAAGGTGGGGATTTATACTCCTTACAGACAGTTGGTTATTTACATTCTTTTAGAGAGTCATTGAGGCCAGCTGGAGGTTTATCTGTGTCATCAGGGTCACCCAAATAGTTGGATGAGAAGTGAAATGTCTTCAAAGAAAAATCAGAAAGTCTAGTTGCCTCTTGAAAAAGGGACAACGATGATCTGAATGACTGAGAATCTCTATAGACACAGCTGTGAATCACATTTAAAAATTTCAGCACCATAATAATAGAATCAGAAAAGATTTCTCATGACTATGCTGTGGTAAGTTGTAAAAGCATAATATCAGGAATTCCTTGTTTTCCAACAGGGATATAAGTCATTCACAATTCATAAGAACAGTTAAGGAACATTAATGTATAATGGAATTATCCCAAGAGAATAATGATTTAGATATGAATTGCTTGGCATTCCCTCACAACTCAATCTGTAACACCCATGCGTTCAAAGATTTATGCTTTTGTTCTTTCTCTATAAGAGATTCTTCCAGCTGAGAGAAAAACAAGTTATTTAAAACCAGAACGATTACTCTGCACATTTCAAAGAAGATTATTCTGAAAGCAGTCTAAACTTAATTAAAACAATTTAGACAAAAGATACAGGAACAGTTTCATAAAATGCAAAGTCTTCATCCAATTATTTATTTTATTTACAGATCAATCTGCATATTATAAGAATATTCAGTTTAACTGAAGGAGAAGCTTGGGAAAATACTGGGGTGTGTGGGGAGAGAGAGAGAGAGAGAAAGAGAGAGATCCAGTTACTCCTGATACCAATATCTCACATCAGTGTCTTAGTTCATCACATCAGTGTCTTGGTTCAAGGCTGTAAACTTTTCTTTCCCTTTTTCTACTAATTACATAAAATGGATAAGTAACATTTAGAATGAGATCTAAGAGTGAGATGGGTATACCTAAATTTGACAAATAAAATAGTAATAAATAATAACTTATTACTTACTATACTGCATGCACAGCAGTACAGACACCTTCATATTTTTAATGATGCTTTTTTTGGCACCGATGGCCAAGGCATTTTCCAGCATACAGAAGAAAATATAAAAAGTATAATCCATCCATAATACAATTAATTGAGGGTTCAGATCCAGAACATTCCTGTATTCTCAGAACAACCAGCACCTCAAATACTAAGAAATTCAACAATCTTACCGTGGACCTTGGCACAATCTCCAAAACACCTATTTTAGTTTCTCTTTCTTTCTCTCTCTATATGCTTGGACCTCTGACTTCTTGTTTGTCAGAAAGTTCCAATTTCCAGAAGTCTTCATGTATCTTTTGCTGATGGATGCTCGTTGGTGAAATGTTGTATCATGTTTTTTATGTGATTTTCATTCCAAGCAAGTGCATTTCTCTTCCAATTGCAATAATGGGAGTTCTCTTTGATCATTTTCTGTCCTCAGATTTCCAATGAAGGTAGAGACAAAGTGCATGTTTACACAACTCCTTCTAATTAGCTTTTATTCAAATGGTCCAACCTGGCTATGGTAACCTATGCCCTGATTACTCATATTTGCACTCTTATAATGAGAGTCCATAGGAACTTTCAATTGTTGTTAAGACAAGTAAGCAAACTGCTCATTGCATCCATATCACGGTGGTCTACAGGAATCCTTGTTTAGTAACTCCCTTGGACAGTGACCATTTGCAGTTGGAACAATGATGAAAAGTAATCTAATGACTGATGCCTTCAATTACGACCTTCTCAAATCTATAAAGCAAAGGAAAGTTGAAGTAATGTCATAAGAACAGTTGCAATCATGTGATATTTCACTTAGCAACAGGGATGGGATTCTACCTGGTCGGACCAGTTCTATAGAACCGGTTGTTATGATTCTGCCCAGTTCAGAGAACTGGCAAATCACACCACTGGCTGGCCCCTCCCCTTCCCTCCCCTCCCCGTCCACTCCTCCTTACCTGGCATGCGCACCATCAAACTTGCCTGTGTTTGGTAAGTTGTTGTTTTTCCTTTTTTCCCCCTCTGAGCTTCAGCTGTTCTGCTGTGTCAGGAGATTTAGGATAGCTAGAAACTAGGAAACAGTTGGATTTCTTGCTTTCTAGCTAATATAAAAGCAGAGCTGAACCTTCCTTAGGACTGAAGCTTCTATTTTTCAGTGCAGACTTGGGCAGCAGATTGCAGAAAGGTAGATCTCTGGATGAATCTGTGATTCTGCGATCAACTCAATCTGCCTGTCTGCTTTGCCTGGTTTTGGGTAAAAGTTGCTCTTTTTAAATAAAAAATTCAATATTTACATAAATATTTATAATATTTACATGCAAGCCACGCCCAGCCAGTCACATGGCCACCAAGCCACACCCATAAATTAGGCCATGCCCACAGAACAGGTTGTTAAGAAATTTCAATCCTGCCCCTGCTGAGCAACCACTTTGCTTAATGAATTGCCAGTGCCAATTGTGGTCACTAAACGAGTATTACTTATATTATGGAACCTCTTGCCCTGCAAATACATCCCCCCCCCTTTATTGCTGAGTGCAATTCAGTAATTTATTTTTGACATTTAAAACCACTTAATTTTTAAAGTTTAGGACCCGGCTATCAAAGGGACTACTTGTGTCGATAAAAATACGAGAAGTTATTAAGTTCTACAGGAAAGCTTTTCAAGGAAACTGCCCAGGAGAACGTTTTTCTACCTGGATAGTTTCCAGAAGTGGGGACTTCAACTCCCAGAATGCTCAACAATAGGAAATTCTAGGAGCTGGAGATCACATATCAGGTGGTGTGCCCAGTAGAGAAACTCTATCCTTGGGCTAGGTACCACAACTGGAAAATCTGGATAACCTATATGTGACCATAAATTGTTAAAAATTCTGATATCCCTTTGCTACCATCCATTGGTATTCCAGAATTTTGGAAACCAAATATAGTAGCCCTAATATTAGCACTAGCAGAATTTACCGAGGAAAGAACTTTTTCCCGCAAAATGTATCTCCTTCAGAGTTGTAATTGCCTTCCAACCTATGTGCTCAGAATTCATATCACAAGTTTTCATATAACTTGGACTTTTAAATTATCTTGAGTGTTTTATTGCTGCTTTTATGAATTTATGATGGCCATGAATTTATAAATCACCATGTTTATAATGCATTTGTTATTTTATTTTTAGGTCTACATGCTGCCCTCCAACAAAGATATTATTAGATGGTGCACATAATGTTCCTTCTTTGGCATTTTCCCCATAAAGCTTGTAATATTCACTGGATTGAGAATGAATGGCTGGTCCAAAATTATGCAGTTCAATCACTAACTTGGTTCTCCTCTTAGTTAGGAAGATTAAACATAGTTGGCAATGATGAAGGGCAGATGAACAATATAGAATACATGGGGAAACCACAGATTATCACAGTTTCAGAAGACAGGTTGTTGCATTGACTGTGAATTTTCCCTCCTTTTTCATTTAATGAAAAATAAATGCATTCACAAAATTTCAGACATCAGCCTGGTTGCCTACAAATGCTGGCAGCTTTGTAATCAAAAATGCAAAATACAAAGACAGTTCGGGTGCTTCAGTGCCCCTCCAAATATTTCTCTCATAACTTTTAACCAACATGGTCTCAGTTCTCACACTATTGAGTTGAGTTGGTTGAGTTTCCATCCAACAGACCTCAAGGGCTTCATGCTGGGAAGCAAGGATATCAAATTCATTCTTTAAAAGAAATCTGACAGCTGATTTTCACATCAAATGTGTCTGCCCCATTTCTGGAATTTTACAGAAAGTCTAGTTGATGCCATTTTTTTCTCTGTTCCTAACCACAATGATGCCAAAATGACAGAACTTGCTTTGTGACATCACAGTGCAAATTCTAATCTTTCATAATTCATTGCAATGTATGCAAGCACAACACAGTGGGTGCGATGTTGTGCATGTTTCATCACTCCCTACCCCACTAGCACCTATGCTATTTGACATGTTCATCAATAGACCTGTAAAATTGCTACAAAGCAGATGACTGTAAATAATGTTGTGTATACATGGTTCATTCACAAAATACTCAAAAGGTCATATAAAGCTCCATTATTAATTATACTGACTGTGGACTATGCCAAACAGGCCTTTTGCATAAGCCTCTTACCCATGGTTAATTTAAACGTGTTTAGAAAATTACATAATTTTCGGGGTTTGTAAGGCACATTGAATCATAAGCTAACTACGTGGATTAGATTTGCATAATACACTAATCTAATGTGATTCAGCATGTTAAGCAACAGAATCTCAGAGTTACAATAAAGCTTTAAAACCAAATAAAATAAAAATTACACCACTGGTTGAGGATAGGATTTAATGCTGGTTGCAACGAAGTAGAAAAAAATAGTATATTTTCTATCACTTTGTCAAAATTTAATCAAATCAATGGGCTGATAGAAATGATATTTTATACATACATACATACATACATACATACATACATACATACGACTTAGCTGCATTTTTACAATTAGCCCCTCCACACCTGATGTTTTTGACAAATACTCAAGATAAATAGACAATACTATTTCATGCATGTTCTACCAATGGAGGGATTGGTACCAGTGATTTCCTGGAAATTCTAGCATCATAGTCTCTGGAGAAAGTCCAGATGCAAAAAAAATAATAATTATACCTACTGAAAGTGGACTTTGATACTGTGGTACAGAGACCAAAAATAAGATCTTTCTCAGTGAAAAAATCATGCAAGGTATGAAGGACCGGGAGAATTAAGGGGATTTTAGTTAAGTAATCCAATGGAAAATCCCAAAAACAGACAGCAGAAACCAAAGGCAACTTCTGTTGGTGTTTTAAGTATTACTGATTCATGGGTAAGATTTGCTCAGCTCATTCTTAAGTGATTCTCTGCTCTGGTCTATCATACTGTATGTTGTTCCCACCCATTCAACTTTCAGCATCCAGGAAGTAGCTGCCCTAATATTATTTTAAATAGCTTTGCAACATCTTATAGCAGTCATTCCCTTTCCTGACTCTAGTTATGGCTGCCTTTGGGGAAACAAGTACATTAAGCTGAAAGACACTCAGGCCGCTATGCATAAAAACAGTTTCCCTGACATTGTTTTATTGTTGTTTTACAATCAAAGAGAAAGTAAAACCTGCAGCAATCATTAACCCATTTCCTAGAGTAGCCTCAGCTTCTCAGCAGGAGTGGGAAGAGTCCCTACCACTCCACCCACAGAGCTTACTGTCAACTGAGCCTGGAGTGGGAATTGAATGGTTTGGGTTCTCCCTGGTAGTTCTAACAGTGTTGTGGTGGGCGCAAATCGGGGATTTTTTTTTTCTAAAGGAATTCAAGTTTTTAAAAATTGCACAATACAGGAGCGCATTTGGAAGAGGGGTGCAATCAGCTGGCAGGCTTCCAGTTCTGCAAATCTACTGGAACGATTTAATCAGTAGGCTACCAGGGGTGGGGGTGGGAGAGAGAATATTGTGGTTGAACTTGGTTCCAGTCAGTGGAACAGGAACAAAATCTATCAATTTGGCTAACGTTTTGCACCTTTTGGCTGAATGGATGATGGGTATTTAAAAACCAGGCAGCCTAAGTACCATTTAAATACAAGCCAACATAATTAAACTGCAGGCATTACATAGAAGAAACCATCTCTGTAATGCAGGTCACTGGAAAAGTTATATTTAGGGCAATGCAGATTTGGTGGAAAACAATAATTCACCAGGATAAAGCAGGGAAAAGATTTGTGTATGTATATATCCATCAGGCTATTTCCTTCAAACTATATTACAGTGCAGAAAAGTTCATAGTAATAAGTAATAAGCCAAAGAAATTAAAGGTGTGAGATAAGGTAACAAAAATGGTTAAATTTAATGTATACTATACCATCCCATTTCGTTCTCAAATCATCCTTGTTTATTTGTGTATACCTTGACTTTTCTTCTTTAAACTTACCTCATTTTGAAAATCTAACAAATACTGCTAAACTTAGCTTCTTTTCCAAGAGAATCCATTCTCTTCAGCTTAAAATGGCAGACTATGTTCTCCTTCCTCTGCTGAAGCCACGCAATGCTTTTATGAGGGTTACATTGTAGTGTGTTTATTATTATAAACCATTGCATTTCACTTGTTTTTTAAAATGTAATAGGCTTTATGGCAGCCCATTCATAAGTACAGGTTGCAAGTCAGATGTTCTTAACCCAGGCATTGTCTATACTCCTCTACCAACTTTCATGCATTTATACATTTCATAATAACCTGCTGAACAGCAAAAAATTTGTTCTTCATTCCAAGGAATGCTGTTAAAATAGACTGTGTGTAGAACAAAATAAACCCGGCATATCTAGTATTTAAGATCTGGATTTGTGGAGAGTTATTGCCTGCTTGATGGCTAATTAATGTACTTCCATGCTCACATGCGCAAAGCCTTTGCACGTCCTCATCTTCTCTCCACAACCACTCAGGTTTCCCATATGCAAAATACAGCCTACAGGCAGGATAATGCAATGGTCAGAATGCAGCATTACAGGAAAAATCTGCCCACAAATTTCTATCTGGAGTTCAATCCTGACCGGGCTCAAGGTTGACTCAGACTTCCATTCTTCTGAGGTCAGTAAAATGAGGACCCAGATTGTTGGCAGCAATATGCTGATTCTGTAAACTGCTTAGAGAGTGCTGTAAAGCACTATGAAGTGGTATATAAGTCTAAGTTTTATTGCTATAGCTGTGCTCTCTCATACATAATCCATGTAGACATTATTGTATCCAAAGTTTGGCCCCATAGAAATGTATTATATAAATCACATTAAATGTTCAAATTGGTTGCCATT